CACTGGAGGGATTATATACCCCCTCTGGTCTGGGAACGTCTCGGTGTCCCCCAGGACGAGCTGGAAAGTGTCGCTGCGCAGAGCGCGGGTCCTGGATGGCTAAGAATCTGCACCAATATTTTGGACAGGTGCAAAGTATAACCAAGTCATTGGACCAGAGGGACCCGGCTGTTGTATAACCAAAAGTGTTAAGTACTTAGTGAGTTGTGCGAGTGAGTCTGTGATCAGAAGGTTCAACTCCTTGGACCCACAACAAAAATGATTTATAGTCACAACAAAAATGGGATGTAGGAAATCTTCATCTGTCCCACTCTGGTCCCTCACAGAAACATAATTCCCCCATTGAGGTTCAATAAAGGTTGTAAAAATAAATGTAATTGTGACTGGATGAGAAGTATAAATATTGTATATACTGTATGATCTATCACATCTATGACACAAATCATGTCACACTCCAGCAGAATATGGCAGACATATAGCCTAATATGAAAGAGATATACTGTTTATGCAGCTGAAACAGGTAAGTTTAGTGCATCCCAAAGTTTTAAACATTTATGGGCTTTAGAAAAATGTTCTTTTGGGGAGGTGGTTTAGCACTATAGGCCCCTGTGACCTAAGCTTTAGTCCTTAATGTTCTTTTCCCCTCTACCTTACTTTTATTTTTATACTTTAAGTACTTTTCAAACCAGTACTTTCACACKTTTGAGTAAAAAACTTGAATTGATACTTCAACTTCTACAGAAGTCTGTTTAAACACTAGTATTTATATTATTACCTAATTGACACTGCTCTATGTATAACTGATTAACATGTTAACTGTTCCCTTTTAACAGCTGTAATCTCAATAAGCTCATAGATAACCCCATTTCATGGACTTGTTTGCATTAGTTGTGATTGTTTGAATGCACCAGGAGGGCTACAGCTAACTAATGCTATTTGTGCTAACCAGATTATTCTGTGTAATGTGTTGTTTGATTGTAGCTGCCAAATGTTTGYGAATCTTTAAGAATTAAAGGCTTTTCCTCCAAGCTGAGCAATCCACATTAGTTGCTCCTAACTTTTCTCCAGCATCCTATTTCCAAAGATCTGAACTATCCCTTAACTTTTTGTTAATTTTAAGAAACAGCCAAGCAAACTTGAAAACATGATTAAACAAAACACTCAACTCAACTTAGAATGTGAATCATCCATTTATTAAATATT